TGCCTCAGCCTCCAGAGTAGCTGGGATTACAGGCACATGCCACCATGCCCAGCTGATTTTTTGTATTTTTAGTAGAGACGGGGTTTCACCATGTTGACCAGAATGGTCTCGATCTCTTGACCTCGTGATCCACCCGCCTCGGCCTCCCAAAGTGCTGGGATTACAGGCTTGAGCCACCGCGCCCGGCCCCTTTTTTTTTCAATATATAACATTATTTTACAAAATCACATTGCTTGGGGTATTTTTCTAGCTGCATTCCCAATATAATCCAATTAATATCTATGTAAGCCCTGTTCTGAGAAGCTCAAGGATTTTTACAAACATTATCTCATTAATACTTATAACATCTCTAAGGTAAACCAGGGAAAAAGATGAAATTATGAATCCATAATCCACATGAATCCATGAATTCATAAATTCCACAAATTCCACTCATCAAAAATTCCATCCATTTTGCAATTTATGATGCATTTTGTGCATCATTTTCTTTCTAAATACACCTAAGGTACCTATTTACTCATTACAACTGGATTGGCCTATACCAAAAATGTTTTCATTATTTACTTAAGAAAGCAAAAATTTCACAAAGTGTTACAAATAGTAAGCAAAATACAGAACATCATAAAAATGATGAATCTAATCTCCAAATAGTACTTCAGCTAACAAGAAAACTGGAAAATATTTGGGAATCAGATACATTATTTTCTTCAAACTTTAGTAATCAGAGACCAACAGCTTTAGCTTCTTTCTGCTCCCTATAATTTGGTTCTTTTGTGCTAGGATCTTCTAGCAAACCTTAGTGACTGCCCATCTAGGAACCATTTCCCCCTCTCCTTTTTTTAAAATAAATTTTATTATATACATTTAAGGTATACAACATGTCATGAGATACAACTAGATAGTAAAAAGGTTACTATAGTGAAGAAAATTAATATACCTATTGTCTCAGTTACCTGTTTTTGTGGCAAGAGGAACTAAAATCTACTCATTCAGCATGCGTCCCAAATATAGTATAATTTTATTATGCATAATCCTCATGTTGTAGATTACACCTCCAGACTTATTCATCTTACCTATCGATGCTTCCCCTTCTCCTACGTTACCGGGATCCCACTTTCTTCAGGTAACATTGTGCTCAGCCCCAGGAGATAAATCATGATTGATTAGATAATCCCGATCCCCTTTGCCTGTAATTGGTCATGGTCTAAAACTGGCCTATAAGTTGAAGGAAAGTGCTGGAGGTCCCTTCCTCCCTGATAAGAGGGTAGCAAGAGTAGAGTAGGTTCTTTTGCTCCCCAGCCAATTTCTTTGTGCTTACAAAGTTGTCAGGTTGAGACCTGATAGAGCTGAGATACTATCTTCAGACACGAGGGGAAGACCAAGAGAACTTCCATGATCCTTTCTCTGCACTCAGACATAAATCACAGAGTCTCATAGCTTCTGTTTACATGAAATAAATGTTATTTTCACCTAAGTCGCTGAGGGTCAGATACTCTGTACCCTGAAGTTGAAAGCATTCTGATTAATACAGACAGACCAAAAAATCAGGCAAGAAGGGAGGTAGCGATTAATCATTGAGCACTATGACTTCTGAAATTTCATTTAATCTTGACAACAGCCCAATAAAAATTATTAATCTTTTTTTGGCTTGTTTTTACAGATTAGAAAACTAAGGCTTAGTAAAGTTATATAATTAATAGTAACAAAGCTGAAATCTGATTCCAGACCTGATACCGAATCTCAAAAATATAAAATCTCCCTCCCTCATTATTTACAACTAAAAAAAAAAAAAAAACCCAAAAAACTAGAAGTGTTTTTAGCTAACAAAATTTGGGGAGAGCTAAAGAATATCATCCTTAAAACCTTGTCCTAAGAATCTACAGACTTCAACTCTATTTTGTATCAAAGTTATATGGGAGAAAAGACAAAAATATGTGTGCATGTGTAACAAGAGTTCCAGAATGTTTCGTACAATGGCAAAAATCTCACAGAAAAAAGTAGAATGGACTCTAAGTGTAATATTTTTCAAGAATTAAATGTAATTTTTATTTTTATTTTATTTATTGTATTTAAATGCAATTATTCAAGAATTAAAAAATTTAAAAGTTAATGACAAATATTTCCTAAACTAAAAGAATAACTTCCTTATTTCAAACTATTACATTAACCAAGTAGGTATCAATACAGAAACCACAAAGTTTACACTTCCTCAATTCTCATCTCTTCGTGAAAACTGATTCAGAGTAAATCGTGGCAACAAAAAATTATATAAACTAAAAATCAGTGATGTCATTTTTTTATACAGAAATTTACTAGAATTGGATTTTCAAAAAAGCTATTTATGTCAACTCAACCAGACATATATTCACCTTACAATGCCTTTATTACTAACTAATTGAGCATCACAAAACGGGCATGCCAGATTTCTGAGCTTACACATGCAACTTACCTTCCCACATGCTCTGCAATGATGCCTCCTTTTGGTGAATGTAAACCTGGCTTCACATTTCATGCAATTTGGAGCCTGAGAATCCGGTACCCATACTGGAGCCACCTCACCCAGAGTGGTGAATGGCTTTCTGGCAGAAATTCCAAACTGACCAGCTCTGAGATCATTATCTGGGCTATCTGGAGCTAATGCAAGGCATGGTCTATTGGAGATATCAGCCTCATAATTTTCTAAATGTTCCCCATTTGTATCAACATTAGAGATGTTTCCCAAAGATGCACTGCATACATTGGTTGCTGAGTTTTCCCCTAATTTTGCTTTCCCAAGGATATCATTTTTATTTTTAGTATTATTTCCACTGTTTGCAGGAAGGTCATTTTGTAAATGGTCCGATAATGGCTTTGGAATTTGAAGTTTAAGATTAGAAGGTTGCTTGGGTCTTGCACCACCAAAAGGAACACTGATAGATGGCAGGCTTGCTACTAGCTTGGGGGAAGATTGCCCAAGCACTGATGGAACTTGACTACAGAAATTACGTAAATAATTTTTCTTCATTAGGTCACCAGGGCTGTTTAAAAGCAGTCCACTTCCTTCTGTGGCCTCATTTCCTCTCTGTTCATAAATATTTGAGTAGCATTCTGACTTGCTCTCCTCTATTTCTTTTTCTTCTGTTACTGAATCTTCTTTGGAGGGTAAAGTCTTTGGAACAAAAGAAACACCTGGGCTCTGCATTCCATAGGAATCACAACCATTAGATAGAGAATTTGCTGCTGGTGTATCTATAGTGGAGAAATCACATTCTTCACTTTCACTGATGCAAGTTCCTTTTAAATCTAGACCTGCATCTGCCAATCCAACACACTGTCCTCCACTATCACCATTAGTGTCCTCAGGCTGACTAATCTGTAGAAACTTTTCCTTTTCTTCGTTTATTTGGCTATCATTCATCTCATTTAGTTTAGTCAACTTCCAATTAGTCAAGTCCTGAGATTCAGAGAAATGCTCTGTGATATTAAGGAATTCTGTAGTGCCAAGAATTTCTTCGTGTTCATAACCTTCATTTTCAACAGCCCTAACTTCACTAGGCACAAGGAAATCTGAAAATCGTTCACAGTCATTATCCCTTCCAGACCCATTAGGCACATCTGGTTTGAGAAGCAAAGGTAAACCAGACCGGAGGGATTCTTCAGTTGTGCTCTCCTCTGCTGGCTCTTTATTCATCAAAATCCCCTCACTCATGTCAGAAAAGGAATTTGGACTCCCTAGATCTGTCCTAGGAGAGCTGATTTTGCCAGTGAGGTCCTCATCTGGTATACAGTTCTCTTGCTTTTTAATAATAGGACCTCCATCTGTTCCCTGGGATGAGATTACTGAATCAACTGTTAAGCTTGTAATCGTAGACATGGAAGGATCTCCACCTATACTTTCATCATCCATTAATTGTGAAGGGGAACAGACACTGGCTAGACTATCAGACGAAGTAGCACACAGATGGTTAACAGGACTCCCCTCTATTTTTGGTCTACTCAATGGATCCATTTGTTTCTCTGAGTTCATATCTTTTTCAGTGGACTCATTTATACTAAAACTAAACTGATCAGTTTGTCTGTTTTCATTATCCAGTGAACAGCTAAAAGCATCCATAAGGGATTGACTATTATAATTATTACAATCCTGTAAATCGTTTTGTAATGTCCTTTTATCACAGTTATGCATGACAGCTACAACAAGAACATTCTTCTCATCTGGCAGACAAGCCAGGTTTCCACATTTCTTCTCTCCTACTTCAACAGCACTGCATTGATCATCCCGACTATAGTTTCTCTTAATTAACTGATCTTCTGTAACAGCATTTTCATCAATCCACATTGTGGCAATCTCTGGATTTAGATTACAGTCCTGTCCATTAGCACAATGATCCTCTTCCTCTGTGGTCAGGGGAGCTGAATGAGCCACGGAGAAGACTTTCAGTTGTGGCTGTGACTCATTAGAAACTGCAGATTCATTCACACTGGCCAAAGCAGCGTTAAATGATAGCCGGTGAGAAGTGGGATCTAGAATCTTATTCCACTTTGTATCCAATAAAGTAGAAGAAACTGTTTCATCTGGAAAAAAATAAGTAATTATAATAAGTTTCCTGGTAACAATGGAAAAGCTACTATGACTAAGTTAATCAACATTTCCAACTATCCTTTGAAAATTAAATATTCCAAGGATGTAAGATTTCTAATTTGGGGCTAAAAAATATATATTTCAGACAATTCTCTGCAATTATATGTCACCAAATAGTAAAAATTCAGACTATTCCAAACAACAAAAGAATTATATCTCGGGCCAAGCAAGGTGGCTCACGCTTGTAATCCCAGCACTTTGCGAGGCTGAGGCGGGTGGATTACCTGAGGTTGGGAGTTTGACATCAGCCTGACCAACATGGAGAAACCCCGTCTCTACTAATAATACAAAAATTAGCCGGACGTGGTGGCGCATGCCTGTAATCTCAGCTACCCGGCAGGCTGAGAACAAGAATCGCTTGAACCTGGGAGGTGGAGGTTGCGGTGAGCCGAGATTGCCCCACTGCACTCCAGCCTGGGCAACAAGAGAAAAACCCTGTCTTGAAAAAAAAAACAAAATTCTACCTCAATCTAGTAACATAATTAAACTGACCCACAGGTGAATGGGACCCAGAAGAGGGGAAAGCACCCTTGGATTGAGCACAAGGCAGGACAGGAGCTAATCTAATGGATTAGATGGAAAAAATATTAGAACAGTGGTTAGGATACAGTAATTAAGAAGGAAGGAAAAGGAAGAAATTTTCTGTGAAGACTGAATGCTCTATAATCTATATCATAATTGGATGTGGGTTTGTATGATATACCCATTTGTTAAAACTGCACAGTTGAGATCTATGCATTCTAATGTATATAAAATTTACCTTTAAAAAAAGTTGTAAGGCCGGGCGCGGTGGCTCAAGCCTGTAATCCCAGCACTTTGGGAGGCCGAGGCGGGTGGATCACAAGGTCAAGAGATCGAGACCATCCTGGTCAATATGGTGAAACCCCGTCTCTACTAAAAATACAAAAAATTAGCTGGGCATGGTGGTGCATGCCTGTAATCCCAGCTACTCAGGAGGCTGAGGCNTTTTTTTAGTTTCCTCCCTCAGGTAACAGATCTGAATTTCCTGATGTGAAAATACTGATTGCATTTATAAGCCACAAAGACTTTAAAGATATGAAGCAGGTAAATTAGTAATTACATATTAGATAAAGTTTATAAATAATATATCTCTTTATTTTTAATCACTGCTATTTAATTTTGAGTGTTACATTTGCTCCATTTGCTAACAAGAGGGTATAAGGCCTATCAAGTTTTTCTTTGGAAAGTACTCACCTCTCATTTGGCACAACGTGTCTCAAAGCCTACTAAGCCTGAGAAAGGATGTTTGTCTCCAGTTCTTTAAAAATCTCTTGTCTCAAGAATGCACTCTAGAAAAAAAGGAAAAAAAAATGTCATGTCATTTATTTTAGCTTTAAATTCTTAAACAAAATGTGATTGTGTGGAACACTGCACTTTCAAGATTTTATAAACCAAAGCGTATCATACTTTTGACTAGAGAATATATTACATCATCAGACAATAATTCTAGTCTTCTTGACTATCTGATGTATAATATCCATTCCAGAGTAAAATGTGGACTGTTGCTGTTATGACTATAGTACAGAAAAAAGTTATTCCTGTGTTTAACTGTTATTTTGCCTTTCAGACTCTAGGAAATAACGTTACTGTGAAAATGTATTCTCCATTGTGGCCTAACTTTGATTATACTATGGTGGTTATTTTTGTAATTGCTGTGTTCACTGTGGCATTAGGTGGATACTGGAGTGGACTAGTTGAATTGTAAGTTTAATTAACTTTAGCATTTTTGTAATAAATGGTTAAGTTTTTTTGCAATCATTGTAATCATATAACAACGTTTAAAAATGTTATCTGCCCTCAGAATATGATGCCAGTAAGCCCAGTCTGCAGGTTTGTTCTCATGTAGATCACTTACATTTTCACTAAGAAAAGATTCATAGATTTCTCTAACTCTTCCAATGGCAGAGGAACATTAATGTCACATCAGAGACTTTTTTTTTTTTTTTGAGACAGAGTCTCACTCTGTCACCTAGGCTGGATTGCAGTGGTATGATCTCAGCTTACTGCAACCTCCACCTCCCAGGTTCAAGTGATTCTCCTGCCTCAGCCTCCTAAGTAGCTGGGACTACAGGCACGCACCACTACATTTGGCTAATTTTTTGTATTTTTAGTAGAGACGGGTTTTACCATGTTGGCCAGGATGGTCTCGATCTCCTGACCTCGTGATCTGCCCACCTGGGCCTCCCAAAGTGCTGGGATTACAGGCGTGAGCCACCACGCCCAGGCTCCATGTTTGTTTTTAATTTTGCTTTATAAAAACCATTGATAAATTGAGGCATCTCTTAAATACAGGATTTCTCACATTAAAAATTATATTTTCTTTTTTTTCTTTTTAAGATGGAATCTCGCTCTGTCACCCAGGCTGGATGATCTCACCTCACTGCAGCATTTGCTTCTTAGGTTCAAGCAATTCTTCTGCCTCAGCCTTCCGAGTAGCTGGGATTACAGGTGCCTGACACCATGCCTGGCTAATTTTTGTATTTCTAGTAGAGATGAGGTTTCACCATGTTAGCCAGGCTGTTCTCGAACTCCTGACCTCAGGTGATCCACCTGCCTCGGCCTCCCAAAGTGCTGGGATAACAGGCGTAAGCCACCATGCTCGGCCTAAAGCTTATATTTTCTACCCTTGGCAACATAGTGAGACCTCATCTCTACTAAAAATAAAAAATAGCCAGGCGTATTGGCACACGCCTCTATCCCCAGCTACTCAGGAGGTGGAGGTGGAGTGATTGCTTGAGCCCAGGAGTTGCAGCAGTCCAACCTGGGCAACAGAGAGAGACCCTATCTGGAAAAAAAAAAAAAAAAAAAGCCAGGTGCAGTGACTCATGCCTATAACCCCAGTCCTTTGGGAGGTTGAGGTGGGCAGTTCACTTGAGCCCAGGAGTTCAAGACCAGCCTGGGCAACATGGCGAAACCTTGTCTCAGCTCTATGTGGTGGCTCACACCTGTAATCCTAGGTCTTTGGGAGGCCGAGGTGGGTGGATCACCTGAGGTCAGGAGTTCAAGACCAGCCTGGCCAACATGATGAAACCCCGTCTGTACTAAAAATACAAAAATTTAGCCAGGTGTGATGGTCTCAGCTACTACAGGCACACACCACCACACCTGGCTAAAGGCAGGAGAATCACTTGAACCCAGGAGGTGGAAGTTGCAGTGAGCCAAGATAGTGCCACTGCACTCCAGCCTGGGTGACGGGGAGACTCCATCTCCAAAACAAAAAAATGAAAAACAAAAATTATATTTTCTAAATATTTTTATTGAAAGAAATGAATAAACCACAAACTGCATTGTTTGCCATAAATTCATACATCGAAAAGTAAAACACAATCCAACTGAATCTGTATATCCTCCTTCTTCTCCAACAATAGCTTTAAATGTTTTCTATGTACTTTATAAGTTTTATTAAAATTAGTTCTAATGTATGCAGATTAGGGGAAACAAGTTATAATTATCTTTCAAGTAACCTTCTACAAACTTCTAACCCTACTGTCCCCGTATATCTCCTGCTAAAGTGAATAATGATGTAATGTACTATTTGTGGGGGCCCAAAGCATCTGTAATCTTAATTTCCTGAATAGCCAAAGATTTCAACTTTCTGCCAATTTAAACACAAAGACTCAAATGGCCAAAATTATACAGTTAGAGGAAAAATCTATAGCATGAAGATTAATTTAAATTTTTTTTTTTTTTTTTTTTTTTTTTTTGAGACAAAGTTTCGCTCTTGTTGCCCAGGCTGGAGTGCAATGGCACGATCTTGACTCACTACAGCCTCGGCATCCCAGGTTCAAGCAATTCTCCTGCCTCAGCCTCTTTAGCAGCTGGGATTACAGGCACCCACTACCATGCCCAGCTAATTTTGCGTATTTTTGGTAGAGACGCGGTTCCACTATGTTGGCCAGGCTGGTCTCAAACTCCTGACCTCAGGTGATCTTCCCTGCCTCAGCCTCCCAAAGTGCTGGGATTACAGGCTTGAGCTACTTCAAGAGGCAGCTCTCTGTTTACTTTTTAACAGATCATAACTACAATGGATAAGTTATTCTCTCAAGTTACAGGGCTATTGATAAGTAAATTAGAGAGATAAGGAAAAATGCACTCCATGTCTTTCCTGCTTGTTTTCTCCAGTGTCTCTGATAATCATGGGCCTGAAATTATGCAGATATATTTGTAAACTAAATCCTCATCTGTAACATTAATCTTCAATGTGTCCATAGCACCTTAATCCAAACTCTATAAAGGCATTTACTGCGCTGAAATGCAATGGTTTATTCACTTATCTCTTTCAATCACTGAATGATTTCTGAATGCTGAAACCATTTCTTTCCATCAATATAAGTCCTCACTTTGCATAGTGCCCGACAGATTTTAGATACACAATAAACATGTGAGTATCTACCATAGTAAATGCATTAGGATTGAGGAACACGAAGATTAAATGATAGCTCTTTCCAAGAAGTATATAATCTCATTGGGAGAATAAGTGATAGATACTAATATCTAATCAGCAGTATGGAATAGCACAGATACAGTAAGTCCTCACTTAACGTTGTTAAGTTCTTGGAAACTGCAATTATAAGCAAAACAACTCATTGTATAACGAAGCCAATTTTACTATAAGCTAATTGATATAAACAGTTAAGGTTCTATGGCACCTTAACAGTTATGTTCTATACAGTACATCATTTTGCTTAAAATCAGTTTCCAAGAACTTATCAAAGACACTAAGTGAGGACTTAGTGTATTTGAAAACTATTATGTGGAAATAGAAAATAAATTCAGAGGAGAAGGATATTTTCCAGAATGAGGTAAGCGAGCTTGAATTCATGGAGGCAGGAAGAACTGGGCTACACTTCAAAAACAGTTTGAAAAGAAAGCATTAGTAAATAGAGGAATAAGAAAAAGCATATCCCTAAATATAAGAATTTAAGGAAGCAATAAGTAAATCAGTTTGAGTTGAGGAAAGAATTAGTGTAAAGAAGCAGTGAAAAGAAGTTAAAAAGGGCACAAAACTCAGATTGTGTGAAGAATGAGCTTAGTATCCTCTGAAATGTTAAATCCTGAATTTACCAAATTTGGACCAGTAGAGATTTGAAATTTAGTAACACAGGCTTCCTTAAAAGGGGAGGGAAAAAAAAAAAAGCAACGAAGTCATATTTCCAATATGGTTCCTGGAAATAAAAGAGTTACAGCTTCTTACAAGAATATTTAGCAACATTCAATCAGAAATGATCAGATATTAAAATTTTCATTATTCAACCACCTCCTACCTGGGCATAATGTTAACTGCCTAGTGTCACCACAGTCTGTGGTTTATTTTCTCATTTAAAGTAGAAAGTAAAGTAACACAAAATGAGAAATCATTTTATTTAAAGTATATTCTCTAAGATATCATGAGGCTAGAAGTGATAGTTTTTAATGCAACGGGTAGTGAAATTCAAAACAAGGTTCAAACAAATGAATTACAAAGTTACAACCAATAAGCTGCAGAGGCTGCAGTGAGCCAAGATCATGCCATTGCACTCGGGCCTGGGTAACACAGCAAGACTCCGTCTCAAAAAAAAAAA